CTCACTTTTTTTGAGCATAACAGTGTTTCGTGGTCTAAAACTCACAAAACACTGTAATGCTCAAAAAAAATCAACTTTTCACAGCCTCAAAGCCCACTTTTTTTTGAGCATAGCAGTGTTTCGTGCTCTAAAACTCACAAAGCAGTGTAATGCTCAAAAAAATTCACTTTTCCAAGTCTTGGCTCAAAAAATTCCAAACATTTAAGCCATAGATGCCAGAATTTTGGAATTTTTGTAGTTTTTTGAGCATTACAGTGTTTTGTGAGTTTCAAGGTTGGAAATTTTGGAATTTTTTGAGCATTACAGTGTTTTCTGATATCCAGGACAGGATATACTGCATCACAAGATAATTGGGTGTTTTCAACCGTTGTCAAGGACTGGAAGTACTGCTTTATGTGCCTTCTGGAACAGCAACGGTGCTCATTGCTCTTGTTTGATAAGTAAGAACAGTCCTGCTTCATGTTTGGAAGGTTGCAAGAGCTCTCTTACTTTTTGCTGCAGACGAGCCTTCTTGTGCGCCCGCATATGCACATGAACCTTTCAACTCCAGGGGAGCTTTCCTACTTCTTATGAGGCAAAGAACAACTATTGCAGTATTGCCTCAAAAATAAACGCGCCCGTATATTCGACTTCCTTCATGTATAATGGACAGGACATGAAAGGAGCTCTCTGTATTTCGTAACTCATAAATCAAACGCTAGAGCGATTAGGCCGCATCAGAATCGGACACTTCACGAGCAGCGGGAAAGAGATGGCCCACGCACCAAGACGTCTTCGTAAGAGAGACAATAGTATTCTTATTATTATTAGAGGAATGTTGTTAAATAACACACACTATAAAATGCCAAAAACACGAGATTTTTTTAGTATTACATGAACAAAACTAGCACGCCCTCCAGCATTTCAGCTTGTCCAACACATAAACTACCATAAATCCGCGGCCGAGATTCGGCTCCAGATTTTTACACATATCAAACCCGCGACTTGTAGCAACAAGGCTTGGATGCACATGACGAAAAGCACGATTATATCGGTATTTACGGTGTTTTCGGCCTATATGAGTAGTGGATCAATGTAGAGAAGCAAGCGGTGGAATAGCATGGAAGAGGCGGGTGTGGATCTTGGGGGGGGGGACCATATATATATATATATATATATATATATATATTGTATATGTACATACATATCGTCAGCATGTAGAACTCCATAAGCCAGCAACCTGCCATCTCAGTAGCTGAAGCTATAGGGTTCGCGTTCTGCGTACTGGGGTCCCGATCTATATCTGGGCTGCAATGCTGGCAGAGCTGCTGGCAGCTTGGACTGTACGGGATCCCACTTGCAGCCCTAGAATCCAGATGCTTGTGGTATCTTCTGAGCCCTGTTGTTAGCAGTCTTCATGCCATTGATGTTGAAGCATCTGGGATGCGGGCCATAGTCCGGGACCATCATTGCCTCAGCCCGGAGTCATTGGCCCAAAGACTGCCGCAGATCCTACAGCCAAATAGCTAGCAAGGGTCATCTCCCAGTTAATCCCACGCCCAACCCATGTGCCATCACGCACCCCCTCAGCCCACAGTGTTACGAAATTCCTCAACCAGTCTACCAGACAAAAAATTCAATACCTACAATACACAAAGCATCTCCCAATATCCATGACACAACCGTTAAGCACAAAGCACCTCCCAAAACCAGGATCCGAAACAACCGGAAAACCGAAAGGAGGACTGGAGTAGCGACCCTGATGGAAAATCCAACGAAGACTGGGATTTCCTTGAACTCGGGAATGCACAATACATAGGCTTTCTCGTTTCAAGTGTTGCCAATCCTTTTGGCTCTGTGCTTTGTGCGATTTCACGTCCTCTTGTCCATTGCCGTCTAACGCCCGGGCATCCACGAATTCAACAAACGTCTCTCCGTTTCTTACATACCATTGTGTAGTTCTCGGTCTCAAGATATGGCACACCAATTAAGGCTGACGCTGCATGTTTAATATTTCCTTTTCGCTTTTATGTCCAGAAGCTTCTGCTATGAATAGTATCGCCCCTTCGACATTAGCCAGCACCCTAATTTCTCAAACTCAAACTCGGGCTGTGCACCATGGGTCGGAAAAGTGCTGCCAGGTTGTCCGGCAGCTCGGAGCGCCCTGCCTCAGACAAACAATACACTCGAATTGCATGTCCTGTGAATGTAATGTGGAGATGTAGACATGTGTGTGGATGGACTTGCATGCCTTTTTCATCTCGGCTTGGAATGCAAGGTTGAGTTTAGAAGGCTGGTAAAACTGCTGCACAAAGACCTTAATTGGGTTGTGGCCAAATGGCTCTCAGCATCTGCACCCAAGAGCCCACGTGGCCCAGGAGGCTTTAGGATGCAGGAGTGCTGCGACAGCGTCCTGATCTGCTGCAGCCTAGATCCCAACTTCGACCGCAACTTCAACCCAAAAACACAACACAGGGCTCCGAGATTGGAAGACAGGGAAACTGAAAACGCTCCACCTCGTGCACTTTTGCATCAAGGCCAGGACATATCCAGGATTCATGGTGATGAAGACATTGAACCTGAAGTGAACATGACTGCGTGAAAACAGCTGGACTTGACCTTGAGTGTGCCTGCAGGAGAAGATGCTGGCAATTCTGTCCAGACTCGAGCTCCATCCGCTACGTGCAGTACTGAGCGATGCCGACAATTGAATTAAGTTTCGACAAGGAGCGTAGGCTTCATGGTGATCAGGGTGCCATCGAACCTTGGCGTGCCATCATCACGACCCTTGCAGATCGCTCGTATTGATGATCAAGGCATCCGAATGCCCGCGCGATATTGGATTCCCGAGGACGTTTTGCAACACAGCGTTATGCAGCTGCGAGCCCGAATCCGAACAAGCAGCCGCAACGCCGAAGATGCCAGGTCTTTGTTGCGTCGAGTCTCGAGGGAAGCAATTTCAGCAACTGTTTTCGCAACTGGTCTGTAGACAAATTGTCTCAAATATTACTACCCCCACTACGATTACTACGACAACAACAACAACTACTGCTACTCCTACTCCTACTCCTACTCCTACTCCTACTCCTACTCCTACTCCTACTCCTACTCCCACTCCCACTACCACTACCACTACGACGACGACGACGACGACGACTACTACTACTACTACTACTACGACTACTTCTACTACTACTACGACGACGACTACTACTACTACTACTACTGTTACTACTACTACTACTACTACTACTACTACTACTACTACTACTACTACTACTACTACTACTACTTCTTCTACTTCTACTACGACGACGACGACGACGACGACTACTACTACTACTACGAGTACTAGTACCACACTACGCGCTGGGTCACCGAGCTCCAGCTCCGTCGTGTCGTTGTAGGACTCGATGGCTTGCTTCGCCGAGAAGAGCTGGAGCCTGCACGACATGTCAGAGAAACCATTCCTCAAACGTCTATGCATGAATTATGAATATTGAAATGCCAACGTTCGAGAAGCATTGATTTAGTGCCTCTGGCTTCGAGTCTTTTACAAGCCGATCCGACGGCTGCTGCTGCTGGGTATCGACTTTGGGAAGAGTGGAGGAGTCGGGATCTTCGGGAGCTGCGGAAGCTCAGGCACCCAAGCTGTTCTGGTGCCAATGAATGAAGCAGTCGTGCCGTGTAGGGTGCTAGGGTGGCGGAGGTCGTGATTCCAGAAAACTTAAAGCGCTGGCACCGACATATGCTGTGCAGAACGCTGAGTCCCTGGCAGCTGCTGGGCGATGACACTCAGCACTTCAATGTAAATACGATTGAACCTGGCCATGAAGACACTGCTTGGCGGCCCAAGCAGGAATCCCGATTGCCTGCCTCACCTGCCTGGTGCAGCCGACTATCATGTTGAATTCGTTTTGATCGCTGCAATTGCAACTTCCAGACCACAACTCACATGTCCACATCGCTCATAATCCCCGAACGCTTGGACTCCCGAAACCTGTAGTAACCTCAGCCTCGATTTGATTTATCTGGCCCTTACCCGGCTACGCTGAGACGACAAAACCCCAGACACTAAATCGCCGCGAAGCCCGAAACCCACAGAAACACACACGCACGCACAGACACTTCAAGCGGCTTGAGATTCTCTACAAACTGGCTGGCGCAGCTCATCGAAGCAGCACCAAGCGCCCGAAGACGCAAGGCCTGCTGGAATGTAATGGAGTGAGCGGATGGGTGCTCGGGAGGTCGCAAGTAGCGAACGTGCGATCCCAAGCATGAGAATGTGTTAGAAGCATGACATTGTTGCTATAAGCTTGCTGTGATCCTTTCCAAACGAAGTTGTCCTCACACTTTTCCACACTAAGAAATCTCACGAGACGACTCTGATTGACTGGAGAGCACAGGTTTGCAGCGGCCGCGCTGTTTGCGTCCGAAGGCACCACCACAACAAAAACCGATAACTTTTTCGAAAGCACCCTGAACAAAAAAGGCGTGTTGCAGAACCGGAAGGATACATCCTCTTCACATTGTGGACGAAAAAGCTACGGGCAAGTTTTGAGCAGGGAGATCGCAGCTGTACGGGAGGCGAGTCGAGGAAGGGACACCAAACGGAATGTATGCAGAAACGTATCTTTTTGATTGGTGCCTTTGAAGAACTTGCCGACCATCAGGTAGTCCTGCATACGACGAAAGCGTGCCAATAGACTCTGGCTGCCAGTGCTCAACACGAAGTTCAACAGAGAACTCAAGGAACATCGGGCTCGTGCGAAAGGCTTGGCTGAGTTTCATGGACCATGTGCGCGCGGAACATCTCTGGCACGAGGCACAGTCCATCTCGGGCGAGCAGTTGAACACCACGCACCTTAACTCTCCAGGCTTCTGCGGAGTCAGGCAAGCTAAAGTTCATCTCGTCCGCTCTTGCCATGCTTGGGTCGGCCCTTTCTGCATTCCACCCTACAGCACGGGGAAAATGCACTGCCTTACCGACATTCCTCGCACGGAGAGGGCTCTCGCATGCTCTAAAGCATAACGGACAGACGCTTCCACGGGCGGCCCAGGCACTGCTTGGCCAATGCTTTGGCGAGATCCTTCGTCGTTTCTGTTTTTCCGGTGCCTGCAGGTACAAGAAAGCGCAGATGCTTCCTGCGGCACCTACGATACATGGTGTAGCGGCCCAAATTCCGTAGCTTTGGCCCTGAAAACAGCAAACCTAGTTAGAAGTTCGACCATGGTCAATGTGGTCTTTGTCGTTGTTCGACCTTTGAAGTTACTGCTGATGCAAATATCAGACTGTATACATCCGACAGTATGCGTGGCTCATGCTTGAACACTACTGCTCGTGCGCACAGCACTACAAGTATGCAACCTCAGAAAGGCGGGCTTTCCGAGAGGGGCCTGCGGGACCAGCTGGCGCCCCACCCAGGTTCAGGCTCTGCGCTCCCATGAGAGTCATGTAGCACCTTTAACATGCAGAATATAAGGTGTAGCATGGAGAACATCTGAATCAGGCTGATGACCCGTTGCGATGGGCGCTTGGTAGAGGTTGACTCACAAAAGCACTGGGGCTCCAAGCTTCTGCATCACAAGATCTATGCAAAGCTCAGCCCCGGGCATGTCCGTGAGAGGCGTAATCACCAGGCGGAAAGAGTTTCCCAGGTACTCGTAACCTTGTTCCCCACGACTATTGCAACAACTCCAGTCCCAAGCTCGAAGATACAAGGCCTACAAAAGGTTCAGTCATCTTGGACTCAACAAATAGGGGGCAGTTGCCCGCATGAGTCGATTTTTTGCGAACAACATCGTGGTGCAAGCCTTCTAGATCGTACCAGCTAGTCTAAGGACTCCTTCAAGGACTCTGCAACTTCATCATTCACTAAAGCACTGCAGATCGCTCCACTTCAACCGCTAGATGCTGACTTTCTGCAGCAACATCACCACTTGTAAAGGTCGCGGCCGTATGGGAAAGGTGTCTGAACCATGCGCACCCACAGGTTCTCGGAGTTCCGATCATCCATCTGCCAGGAGCTGGGATAGGAGAGTAGTTCAGGTGGTCGATGCTGTGAGGGGTAGTGCGGAGGGTCTCGGGCTTCAAAATTTGGGTCGCATACGTACCTCTTTGTTTTCAGCTACGCATCACGAGCTGACAAACACTTTTCTTCTTTGCGTGGCTCTTCGAACTTGTCGACGCCTCCCAGTAGTAGCGCAGCTGCGAGATCCACTCGAAGGAGAAGACGTCCGTCTGACAGGATGATATGGAGGCTCGCTGTGCGTCGTTGTTAAAGATAGCAGTCGAAAGTTTCCAGCTGACTTAACTTCTCAACAGTGAATTCTGGCAGAAGTTCGCAAAGGACCAATCAATCACATTTTCCAGGCAGAACAACAGGAACATGACAACATGAGCCCAGAGCACATTGACATAATGAGGACACTTAACAGCTTAGTTCCCGACAATGTTGTCTTTGGCCATCTTTTCCACGGTGTCCTGGCTGATCAAGCTTGCACACACACACACACACACACACCTGAAAAATGAACCTACTCCAGCACTGAAAACACGCTTTGCTCCGACAGTGCTTTCGGTGCTATTAAGGCCGAGCGCCCCGTAGTTCCTAACCGGTGACCTCCGCACCCAGGCCTGAGGCCCTTGGGGATGGTCGTCGACGTGGGTTTTACAGGGTTGCAGGGCTTAAGCTTGGGGTTTTGGAGCTCAAAGCCTGTTCAGTCAATCGACTAGCGGACGAATTGTGATCAGGCCTTGGCATGCACGTCGATGACGATCAGCGCACCGATGCTCATGCGCCTCCCGAGAACATCCCAGTGTTGAGAAGGGATCTGTTGCTCTGGACTGTTCTGCAGACAAGCAAGATCCACGAGACACCAACACCATAAAGCATAAATCAGCCCAAACCTCAAAGGAGCAAGTTGAGCTGCCGAGGGCTGGACTGGAGCTTCGATATGTCGCCGCGAACCAAGCGGACGAGGCCCATGAGCCTGAGAAGGCTTCAGCTTCGTGACTGCGTTCTTCCGAGGGAAGTGGCAGTGGAGGTTGTAATTAGTGGTAGTGGTCGTCGTGGTGGTGGTGCTGGTGGTGCTGGTGGTGCTGGTGGTGGTGGATGAGGAGAAGTTCCTTCGCTGTGTAGAATCAGCGATGACGGGTTCCATTGTTCTCGGCTTCGGGTTTTTAGGGTCGGACTTCGGCCCGGTCTGATATTGAGGATTCCATCGAAAAACCCGGAGCATGCTTGAGCTTCCCCATACTCCATACCTTCATTAAGTCAATTGCAGTGCGGAGCCGGTCGGGTCACACATTGCATGATCGCGCTCGCTGTCTTGCCGAGTTGAGTTGGAGCAGGCAAACACCATCGTGGTTTACAGCAACGTGGCCGAGTAGCTCATTGACTTAGATGCCAGTATAGAGGCAACTTGGGCTGTCTACGAGGGGTTCACCAAGATAAACAGGCCAAACGTGGTTCCGGAGGAACAAGGGCAAAGAACCCGGTAGAGGTAAAGGGTCCTCAGGAGTAAACGATAGATGTAGTCGTGAGATCCCCCCCGAGAGCTCAGTGACCGACTGGTCCGACAGCTTCTCGAAGTACCCGGACAAGGCCTCGGATACCGTTGCGCCGGGCCCTCGTAGATTGAAGCCCCCAGCTTTTTCCTAGGTTTACGAATTGAGATTTTCAGGTGTATAGGAATACGGATTACAGAAGGGTAATCATCAGTTCAGGCTTTGAGCCTTCTGCGCTGTCGAGCCACGAAAAGAATCTGCTGTAGTCAGTAAGGCCCGTTGTAATTTGCAAGCTTGCGAACCCTTTCACAAACACAGACCCACAATCTATGTCCGGACTGATGCTGTCATGACATGGTTTGACAGATGCATGCAGCTCTGGATTGCGGCAACTAACCATAATGTCCGAGTCCCTAATTCGAGGAGCTGGGATACCCACATCCTGGAGATCTACACTTATGATCACTGCCACTACAACCAGGCGGGTCCTGAATCTGCAAGCACCCAGGCACCCAAAGCCTGTCGAAACTGCTCCTTATGTTCTGTTCGTCACAGCCATGTCCTACGAAGACCAAGAACATATCACACCTAGGTTGGCAGTTCCGCTTCTGGGGTCACCTGTTTTTAAGCCTGTGCCCTTTCACAAGGAATCAAAAAACGAAAAGCATGGAGGGTAAAGAAGTAAGAATCTCACCCGAAACCCCAAATGCCATGTGGGCTCCTGGCTGCCTGGCCAATGGCTTCCTCCACTTCTGCAGTCCAATGGACCTGAATTCCACCATGAGCAAGCATATGTGATTATAGGTTTGGAGTTTGCCTCTTCGGTTCAGGTTAGGGCAAGCCTTGGCTGGCCTGGGCGGTGGGTTATTTCAGGAGGAGCTATCCTCAAACTGTATTGAACAACTTCTTCTGCGTCTGTCAGCTGCTTTGCGCCCGATCTCGAGGCTTCGGGGTTCCGTTCACAGCTTAGGATTTTCGGCTGCCACAAATTGTTTGCTGTTGCTGAGTCAAGCAGTTGAAGAGTGCGGCATCTGAGTATTGTTCGTACTGTTTTTGTTCGTCATACTTCCGCTTGAACCCACAATCTACAACCAATGCCCGAATTCCAAACCACAAATCCGAGAGCATCAAGCCATCCCCAAATCCTAACAAACGGCAAAACGTCCCGAAACCTTATGAACCCTGAACCTCGTAACGAGCTCAACGTGTTCAGATGTCCGTGGAACAAGGATCCCCATCATAGTGGAGCCGAAAGTTGTCAAACTCGCAGTGCCATGAACCATGAGTGCTACTCTCATGTGTTGCTGTCACCTCTGTTCCTTTCCAAATGGCCTGGCTCGAGTTCAGGCAGACCTGGCCGGGCTGCTGCAGGACCTTTGCAGTCGCGGATTATCAGGCTTCCGTTCCTGTTGTAGCATCACTATCGGCAAAACCACAGACACACCCACACATTTCAGAGTATGGTCGAACAAATACTCGACGCTAATGGGAAGAGCCTATCGCAGATAGCTTTCGTGTCAGATTCAGCTGCAGCCTCAAATGCACCTGCATCACTTGGATCCAATGAAATCCAAACCCACGAACCTAAAATGCACCCCTAAACCCCAACCTCCAGCCATGGTCTCAGCGGATCCTCGAAAGGGTTGCTCTCTCTATGTACCATTGTGTTTCCCTGAAGCCTCAGTGCGCAGTCGGATATATGTGCTCCGTGCAGCATTTTCAAGACTCAGCCCTGCCACAAGCCATATACCCTTTCGTCCTTGTACTGACCATGATAGCCGGAAGAAAACACTGGGACTACCAAGAAAAAACTGTTGACACCTTTGGCCCCAGACCCACTCGGTACGGTCGAGCTCGATGTAGCTCTCGACGCCAATCTTGATCACCTCGTCAGTGCATGTCAGCAACATATCAGCACGGGCATCGGAGCAAGCCCGACGCAAGGCAATCTGTCCACGCACTGCTCACGATTGTTCATGCCTAGGTGTTGAGGGCTTGCAGGACATTCAGTAATGCCGACGGATGGGTGCGCTGTGATAACTACATTGATTGGGGTAGCCAATCCGGGCCCTCGCCTCTCGCACGGCCGCGAGCATCTGATTCTCAACTTCCGTCATCCAAGTCTCAACCTAGGTAGCTGAGCCAGAACACGACGGGAGGATTCAGAACAGCGTCCTGCGCCAGTCTAGTCCGTAGCAATGACAACAAGCTAACCATATCTTTTCTGGATAGAGGCCGAACTGAGGACAACTCAAAACCAAAGTAGGAATGGACGGAAACCATGCTCACCGAACCCTCAGGGTCCTGGTGTGCCCTTGGGATGCTGCATTCTTGCCAGAGGTGTGAACTGGTGAGACCTGAGTGAAGCGAAGCAACTGACAAAAGTAAGTACATTTACCGACCGAGTGTAAGAATACACCACATCCACGCGACTATGCAAGTATGTTAGTATGCTGGTAAGTGCCTGCCGGCCTGCCTGCCTGCCAGCCCGCCTACATCTAATACAGCTGTATGATTGTGCTTGCGCATATGTATATGGGTATATATGAGTATATCGTACATACATACATATATACAAACAGACACACATACACAATCAACGTGTAACAAAGCTGTGGATGGAGTTTCCAGTCAACAAATGCATTCCCATCGAATTGTGTTTCAGGGCGCGGAGTGGAAAGTTGTCTTTTTGTCACCCCTTTACCATCTGCATGAATCTCATGTGTCCGGAACGCCTTACAGTCTGAGGCATCGGTTCGGGGCCTGCTTAATAAGGGGATTCACCACCGGAGTTGAAAGTTTGGGTTTTAGGGCTACAGGGCATCCGGAATGCATGCAGCTGCAGCATGAGGGTGAAGTTGAAGATGCACTTCATTGCCAGCCTTGGTTCCCCACTCCCGGGCCTTCTGCAGATCGTGTACTTCACTCTATCCTTGTTCCGCACCCGGCTACTGCAAAGGTGTGAGGCTCCAGCGAAGTCGATGGTCTCACCTTCCTTCGACACCATCTGTGTTGCCGACCTTAGGGCATTCTGATACGCCATGCGATGGTCGCGCTGATTTCAGAGGCGGTGCATGGGCGGTGGCATATGCTGTAGTATGGACTTCCTCGCAGATCATAACCCAATCTTTTTTTAGGCCCATGAACCCGAAGCTCCATGACCCGCCTAAAGTGTCGAGGTCTCAAGACGGACAGCCACTTCCGTGGCCATGACAGCTCGGACGTGAAGGTGAGCTTCTTCATTGCTTCGAAGACCTGGCCAACGACATTTCCATATCCCACACACAACTCCACACTCCAGAGGTTTACATTCGGATGTAACCGATGTAGCCCATGTGTGGACAGTGAATGTCGAAAAAAAAGGTAAGACATGAACATGAAAGGAAAGCCAGAAGGAACCAGTGAAGCTTAAGAATTATGCGAAAGGAGCAATGCTTGCAATGCCAGGAACTGTCACCGCAGTAAGTCATCGCGCTGGCCATGCTGGCATGTAAACACCTGCCTGATACATGTAAGTATAAATGTAAAGACATATCTATATATATAAATATATATATATATATATATATATATCATAGAGATTTATAAACTCTTGTCTATATATATATATGCACATACCTACACCTATACATACACATACATGCATACATACATACACATTCCTACATGTACCTCTATACATACATATATATATATATGTACACACTGATTGCATGCTGAATCGTGGCCGTCGTTGTCACTGTCATCCCATCGATCTTCACTATTGACAACTACATCAGTATCATCAACTCTTTGTCTGCATCATTACCATCGCCGTCCCCAATAAAAGCATAATCATACTTGCAGCTGCTAAAATCCTCATCCTGTGTAAGCTTTTCGATACCGCCGTGTTTTGTTGGGCCTTTCAGCAAGAAGAGTGACACCGGCGGTAGCATGACTGATCACTGTACAAAGTACGTAAGAGCACGCGGACCCATGTTGGTCCTTCTCCGCTTCACCCAAATGCTCCTGTCGCGGTCAGCAACTCGAGCGCATCTTCCCAGGATCTTGGCAGTGCCCGGTCCCAGCTTACCAGGGACCCTCTCCAAAGTGAGCTCGACTCGGTTGAGGATGTAATGATCTCGGCAAGGAGTCTAAAACCTCTGATGGTAGCTCCCGTAAAATCATTCCCGCCCGGGAGAAATTATGGCGCGCTTACTGGCAGGAACATGCCGGATCGGAATTGGCAGTATCAGGATGCGAACATTTGGTCGGACGCGCGTCGTGTGGCTGGCGCATTCCGGGATACTGTCGTCAGAGAGTCAGCTTTCCGAAATGGGTTGAGCACCACCAGATGATAAGTTCCAAGGAGATTGAAATGCTACGTAGCAGTCAGCGTCGGCTCTGGAGAAGCTGAAGAGATTCTCACTGAGGGACGTCTCTGCCATGATCCAGTGGAATGTCAACGGCCTCGAGAAAGTTCCGCGTCCGCTTGCCGTCCTGAATGCTAGATAGCTGATCAAGAGAAACTATGAGAGGCGATACAAGATATGTTGCAACTGCCATGGGAGATCTTGTCTTCATGAGGTAATTAACAATTGCCACACCAACGGGGCAGACTGTGAAATCAAATTGCGACAGCAACCTTTGAGACTTAGTCGTGCACCAGCTTCAGCAGTGTGATGAAGTCGCATCGCTCGTCAGTATCCTGGACAGCACAGTGTGTCAGGCGAAAATGCCAAGCACGTGACAGCAAACACTGATTCGTCTGCACCGATTCGCAAAAATAACCTGCTTCCTACTATGCCGACACCGCGGCCGATTGGCCTGCAACTTGGGAGGCTCCTGCTCTCGCCCCATCGAGACATGCAGCGTCTCCTTGCGGCCGTCAGTGGGACTTCTGGCCTACGTGTATCTGTGTATATATATATATATATATATATCTGTGTGTGTATATATATATATATAATATACGTCTATGCACACATTAATACTTTCATACATATACATACATTCATACATACCTGGTCCCTTCTTCAATAGCCGGTCCCAACCATCAACATTTCTCAGTATAGACGAAATACATAAGGCCAAATAGCTCAAGGTTCTCATATGCTGGCTATCTAAGCATACATACATACATCGTATCTACATACGTCATGCCTACATACGTACATATCTACCTGCATACACAAATCAGCCCCCACACACACACACACGCTCCTATGACACTTATGTATGTAAACATGCGCATATTTGCACACTTAAGCTTTTAAATGCAACTAGACAGACCTGCGCTTGTGTGTATATTTTGTCCATGCGTGTATATGTATATATATATATACATATACACACAGGTACTTGTAGGTGTAAATATGCATATGGACATATGTATGTAGGCATGCATGCATGCATGCATAAATCACTAAGTATGTGTGTGTGTGTGTGTGTGCGCGTCTGCGTGCATGTGTCTAAGTAAACATGAACAACATACCGAAAAGCATGACACTCTCGAACATGTGACCACACATCAAGATGTTTTATTCTACGTCTAAGCTATGCTGCAAAGGACCCGAAGCTCACCAGCCAGCAATCAGGCAGAATGACATCCAAACCCTCGTGTGGCTCCGTGCACTTGTCCAGGAGCCCGCTCTTTCGTAGAGTGGTCAGGAAGCGTGGATCCGAGGATACGAGCTCTGCGGGAAGGTAGTAGGCCTCTGCGTTTAAGTCGTGTGTAATTGTAATTGAGGGGTGCGGTGATTTCGGGATTCGGACCTCTTTGCAGGGTCTGAAGTTTAAATGTACGCGAAATGCTTAATCGCAGGATTCCTTCCGCCTTCAAGCCTAGGCGCTGTTGTTCGGCGCCGCCAGTACCGTGAGCACCCAGAGATCCGCAGTGACATCGGGCCGCAGTCTCAGTCGCGAAGCTCCGCTAGAGTTGAAGCTCGAGGACTCGAGGTTTTCAGCAAAGATCCTAAAAGTGGCGAAGATCTCCTCCAGCCCGAACCGACAGCCCAACTAAAGCTCATATTCGCCAGGGTTCTCGCACATAAGGCCCGGAGTTGTGCAATCTTGGTTGTCCTCAGCAGAGACTCTTCTGTCCAATGCTGTGCACAAGGGGAGCAGGATAGCTTACATACACTGACTGCCTTCTCTTATCACAAAGCTTCATAACATTCAAGACGACAGCTTGTCGCGAAACTCAAATCATGCACGGCAGCAAAGTCTCGCCTCAGTGTCATCGCACCAAAATTCCTGAGCTGTTTAAGCAGCTGTGAAGAAATTGCCATGTATGGTGCCCTTCCATGCTGTCGGGATAGTCAATCCTGATCACTTAAACCACCGGTGCCACCTTCTACTTCCTCTTCTTGTCTGTACCTTGGAGCCCAATACATCCAGAACACCTTCCCTAATCGTACTTGTTGGGCTTCCCTGACGATGTGTCTGCAACTCATAGGGTAAACCCGCTCAAGGAACAGCCTAAGTACTTCTGGCAAATATACCGAAGGCATGCATTGGTTCCTCGAGCCTTACGACACTGGTCCAAAACTTCTGCCCTCATGCTTGAGGAGGTCCAAACGAACTCGCCCAAACCCATTCCGAGTACACCCACGGATCCCATCCGAAAGACACAACATCAAAACGATCTGATTCGGCCTATGGCTTTGCGTAACGTTGCCGCACCATGGCGACGATGATGCTGATGGCGAGACTCTTCTTGCTCTGCGTTTGTTACAGCCAAGGCTCTCCCAGGGTGACGTGCGCAGGGCCCCTGCACTGGTCCAAGACACCATACATGAGCTAAAATTGTCTTGTCATGTCTTGTCTCAGGGATTCACGGCTCCGGGTCTAGAGTCTACGGAGGGTTGCGGACGGGGGTTTAAGGGGCTGGGTGAAGCAGATGGCGGTTAGAGTTCTTCGTCGCGGGACATCGGCTTGATGGGTTCAATGCTGGTTTTGACTAAGGGTTGGGATACAAAGTTGTGGATGGTCTATCTCCTGCACTTAGCTGCCCGGTCCAGCTGATGGTCATGTCAGTGCTGCGACTACGTTGGCATGCACCGCCTGAGACTTTCAGTCAAGAAATTTCTTTCCGGCACGGGAGCGCGTGCCCCCTATGAGTCTTAAACTCGTGCATGTCGGCCTCGGGAGTAGCTTCTCACGCCCGGGCTCAGCGCGCAGCGTATCCAACATCTCCTGGAAAATTTGGGCACATGCATATGATCACATGCAATGTTGGCTCCTCTGCGCCCCATGGCACTCCTGAACGGGCGAGCTGCTTGGCAAGACGATGCCTCAGTTCACGGAGCCAGCATGGGAAAGAGTGGTAACTCTAGCTCCAGTCTCGTACAGAGCTGTTTTGAGTAGAGGATAGTCCCACGTGCATGTCCTGTTGTTGTCTCTGTGCATGGTCAAGCATTGTTACCCGAGACTCTGTTGATGCCACAATCCCCGCCAAACAATCCACGCAGTGGCAAGTGTGTCCATATCGCATATCACCGTCGGTCCTTTAGGTGAGCATCAGTTCCTGCAACCCGAAAGCTTCCTGACATTTGAACTTGACACAGATTGATGTCCAGCTGGCGCAGCTCGTAGTGGGCCATTGCACTCGACGATGCTGCTGTTGCGAGAATATCCTTGGAGTTTGTGCGAGCGCATCGCTTGTAGATGTGTCCCGAATGAGATTGTGATGTTTAAGCCATCGCAGCGAGTCCTGCCTACAATGCCATGACTGTCTCATAGCTACTCCGCCAGATACTCCCAAAAACGAACAACGACTCTGTTCCTGCAAGCGCAGCCCCGAGCCCTTGCATTGAAGTGACCTTGTGCCTTCCGAGACTACATAAACTGGAAGATAGGGAATCTTTCACAAGAACTCTGAATTGGTTGCTTCTCTCTCTGCACAAGCGAGAAGCCGCGGTACAGTATGGCTGGACAGAGGCCAGCTCAGGCAGGCAGGAAGATCATGACGCAGCTTGCACAGCTACACTACATGACATCGTAGCAGCAGAAGAGCCGCATGGCTGCGTCACTCGAGACCATGACAGAGCCTGCTCATTGCTGGATGGATCCCATGGCGGCAGCAATGGTTATTCGACACACAAGGCAGTGCAGCTAGGAGCAACCATCCAGAGTCCAAAGCCCTTCATTAGCCTCACCAAAGGTAGCATCGCTCAAAACTGGTCACGCCTTGGACAGGAAGGGCTGCACCCGAAGTGGGTCCTCTGCATGTCCCGAGAACAAGGAGATGGCAAAGAGCTTGGAAGCGAGCATGACATACTACTGTACATCTGCACAGGCAGGTATAGACAAATAGTCTATTGCTTTTATTGCTGGATTTCATGGCTGCGGATGGCCAGCTGTATTGCGCAAACATTCCCTCCTGACTTAATCTAGCAGCGTGGGGTTACTCCGAGCGCCGAGGGCATAAATGGGCCAATCCCTCGCGCCATCCTTCGTCTGCGACAAGATTTCAAGCAGTTCATCCTTGGCGCATGTACATGTGAAGCTCAGTAGTCCATTCGCACGAGGCAGCCACGCACTGCCAGCGCTGGGATGCGTGCATTGGACAGGAAGTAGAAGCGCGCAAAGGCACCCCGCTTGGTCTCCAGGTAGTCATCAAGGCCTCGCGTCAAACCCGCCAAGAGCCGTTCTTAGAGCACATTCATTATAGAGAAAGCTGCAAAGAACGTGCCACAAGGTTGGGAAACTCCGGACGTCCGATCTCCGAGCTCTGAACCTTTCTGGACCATGTCGAGGTCAGCATTTGCATTGTTCCAGATCTCCAGAAGGCCTTCCTGGGTGAAGGGGTAGAGGAGAGTTGCTGTGGTTCTTTATTGCTTGTTCTTTCTTCCGATATGCTTTCAAATTTCTTCCAAGATGACGAATAAATCAGACCATGGGGATCCGTCAGATGAAACCCCGGATCAATGAACAACATACCACCAGCTCGGCACCCCTGACTGCCCGTCCCGACTTGGAATCCGAATGAATCCGAGTCCCCTAAACACACGCCGCTTTCACCTAGCGGGTAGACCCAAGCCCTTGAGAAAAGAACAGAATATGATAGAAGGAAACTCCCATACCGCGCGATTCAAAGGAAGCCTCTGGCCTCCGTGCACCGTGGGTTATGCATCCTAGCTGAAACCTGTCTGCACCATAAGGTTATATACACTGCTGAGTCCGATATGCCTGAAGCCTGTCCGGACCCTGACGGGAGCCTTCACTGGACTAAAGCCTCCAGCTCCTCCTATCTATTGCTCAGTTGAGTTGTTACATATGCAAGAAAGCGTGTGTGAATATTTCCTTGAAGTTGCATACAAATATACAAGTGTACATATGGTTATGTAAAGAATTAAATATAAATAAATAAATAAATAAATATATATATATATATATATATATATATATGTATACATGCTCGCATTCTGCACGGCATAGGAATTTGTGATTGGCTTCAAGAAGAGGCCGGCTTCTCAGCTGCGCGGCATCAAGAGGAACAGAGGCTCGCAAGGCGAGAGCTTCTCGAACACCAAACGGCAACCAGGCAGCTCATGCACTTCGCCCAACGCGATGGTTTTTATGGGTTCGCAGGACACGCTGTGCAGCGGCATCAAGCAGAGCAGAGGATAGCCAGGCGACGGCGCCAGCCAACCTTAGAAGCATTGGCCTTATATGGCTGCCGATACCAAAGGGCTCCTTGTCATCCTGCGCGAGGCGGTGAAACCCCCCATCCTGCAGTACATGATCGCTGCCCGCCCACAGTATGCCTATAGGCCGGGGGCCTCGACACTTCACCGGACATGGTGACGTTCACGGACGCGAAGGGCATGCAGCGCAGAGTGGCAATGTTGAACATAGGTTTGGAGGCTACGCTCGCATTCTGCACGGCATAGGAATTTGTGATTGGCTTCAAGAAGATGTCGGCTTTCCAGCTGCGCAGCATCAAGCAGAACAGAAGCTTGTCAGGCGAGATGGAGTATCAAACGGAAACCTGGCAACCACTGCAAGTCTCACGGAGAGGTGTGATGCAAAGACGACCAGGAGTTCGATCTCATGGCCCTGATTTCGCTATCCTGACTTAGCAGTTTCTGAGTAAGTGAGTGATGCTATAGCACGTTGTCTTTGAGCGTGGGTGTCCTACGGCCTTCTTGCTGTTGTTGAGTTTGATGTCCCAATATCACCCAAATGAAGGTGTTTAGACCTCCTCGGTATCTTAACCGTGTGGGGATGGCCTCATCTCATACCATGAGGGAGATCCTGCACTTCTTCAGGTCCGATATGTGGATCCTGTATTGTTTGGTGCTTTGATCGCCGATTTCGGAATACGAAGCACCTTTCGTTTGCCGTGCATTTTCAGGCATCGTCCGTGTGCTATCGTTTCGATTTTAGTGAATCAGCGGGACGGCTTTTCCTTCGCTGGCTCAATCCCGTTTCCTAGTGCGAGTCCACACTGGTGACAGTCAGATTACTGGTCCACGCTAAGCAAGTTAATGAGGTGCATGCAAAAGGGCTGCGCCCGACTCGGACTCGACGCCCCCCCCTCCAAAAAACAAAAGAACATGTGTATATATTAAATATGTATACATATACATATATATATATATATATATATATATACATATCTGTATACACATGAACGTATACTGTGTGTATGGCAAGTTTTACGCAGCACGTAGCATTCATGCATGCATGCCCGGCTGGCTGGCTGGGCGGACGGATGAATGCATATGTCGCTATAAGCTCCCGGCCATGGAGCAGGCCTGAAGAGCCGCCGAGTTCTGATGCAACCGTGCCATGGTCTGGCGGGAAACGGACAGTTTGCTTCGGGGCTTGGAGCTAAAACGAAATCACCAGGTTCCGGTTATGTTGCTGTCTTTGGCCTTTTCTGGTAGGGTCGTGTTCGCTGTCGCTTCGTTTTTACAGCTCCAGTGTTTGCTAAGGTCAACTGCCAGACTCGGGTGTCACGAAAGCGGCTTCAGATTTAGTCGTTCGGAGGATCAGGGGATGTGGAAGCTCAGGTTCAGGCCAACCCTGTCATTTCCTAGGGCGTCCTTCTGCTTCAGATCGGGAGCTGGATGTCTGGGATAAGAGGTATGCTGCCAAGACAACGCTAACGAGGGAGGCTCCTTCAACATAACTGATACTGCGGCATTGGGGGGTCTCTGCCGCAGTCTCAAAACAAGCATCGCAAGCTGAGGAGCATGGCCAAGCACTGTAGAGAGAGACCCCAGTGACCAGTCAGCATGATCTGCGATTGATTGAAAGACGGAGGTTCGTGAACAAATTTCTCACCTGCTGGCCGACCTAGGCAGAGGATTGGAATGATTGGAAAACACACCAAGGAAGGGCTCCTCAAAGCAACGGTGTTGAATCAAACCGGTCAGTTAAAAATGAAGCCCACGCCTCAAAACTTGGGACCCTTGAATCTTGAACCCGAGGACTGAAATCCTACAGTCCTGCAGGCTCATCCGCCCCATGACGCCAGAGCCCACCCCAACCACAAAAAGCCCAAAGTCCGCGGCATCCGTCAGGTCCGCTGGCCTGCCGCCACTTGCTGTCCACGAGGCGGAACTTCTTTCCTGGTTTACGGCTTGGTCTTCTAGACCTTCTTAGGACTTATCGGGGGGAGGCTTGTGCCCATCGCAGAGGCTGTCAATGCATGCGGAGGATTGACACTCCACAGACACAGGCCAAGTGCAGAATCTTGCACACAAGATCACACAAGTCTCCGGGTCCAGTAGCACTGCAACTTTCGAAGGAGCTCTCATGTACAGCCGAAGCGAAGACAAGGTCTGCACGACTCCGGGCCTTCCGTCGGCAGCTGCTTCATGATGTCGGGGGAGTCGAAGATGGGCTGCAGGTACATCCACGCCTGAGAGTAGGCAGAGAAGTGAGTTCTAGGTTCAGGCTTTGCCTCGGAGTTCCATTAGCGCAGGCACTTCAAGGCAAGGCCTTGGCCCCGGGCGCGTTGCACCTTGAGCCAGCCGTCGAGACACTCCGACATGTACAGGAGCTTCTCAGCCCATGCCTCATCCGGAAAATGAAAGGAGTTCTGGTTCGGCTGTACTGTGGCTGAAATCTTGACTGCCCCGTCTGCTCTCTTGGGCAGAGGCCTCTTCGTTCAGTGTATTTCATGATAGTTCTAAAGTTCTATGCACGACAGAAACAGAGGGGAACTTATCCTCGCAGCTCCCGCCTCCGGTAAAGGGAAGAGCATGGGGACGGGATTGTTTGGGGAAGTGCAGCGCATGCAAGATGAAGCTGCTGAGCACACGGCATCGATTTCTTCCTTGAACGGCTTGTTGAAGGGAGAAAACTGCATTGCCTGGCGAGACTTGTACAAATGGCATCCATGCATACTACGTGAGCCTTCTCAATCCTCGGAACTGGTTGTAACAGTGCGTATATACTGTTGTAGTTGTATCTGTAACGATCCTGAGACAGCTTCATCGTCACTGTAAGCCATTGATTATGCCTCTGGGGGCTTTGGTGATTGGCTTCGCCGAAGCAGGATCCCCAAGTAGATTCCAATGCAGCTCTGCGATGTTTTGCAGGGTCCGGGAGTGTGAGGATCCGCCTCAACCTGCTTCTCTTGGTCCGCCAGACTCCCACGGTGAAGGCATGGTCAGTTCGTTTGTAAGCGGCTTTGGGGTGTTCATGCCGGGCTGCGCAGCTATGTACGGTCATAAGCTTCGGGTAAATCCACAACAGTTCAAGCAAGCGAGTCACCGGACCCTTAAAAGATAATCGTCAGTTGCCTGGGTCACGACGATCTGCTCATCGATCAAAGCAATTACCTCGTCAGCTCCTGCAGGCGAGGCCCACCCGAGAACGGATTCGGATTTCTGAAGACGGCTCTAGACAAAACGGAGTTGTCGAAGGAATACAAACGCACACACATTCCACTGCCAGATGAAGCAGCCGCTGTTACTACAGGCATGAAAACCATCCTGGATCTTGCGGCAACGATGGAACCGAGAAGGGCAACCACCGTCACATGCGAGCAGCACGAACAACAAGCGTACTAATACCAAGCACAAGGCCTTTCAATATGTAGGTCTCCGTGGTGCGGTATGGCCTTGCAACGCTGGGGTGGTGACCAGCAGTGACAGGTGGTAAATCACTAACTACAAGGCGACTTCTACAGAAGTCCTGCGAAAGCTCAAGCAGCGGGCAGAAGACCGACCGGAGGGAAACGAGGCAAGCTGCATGTGATGCCCAGGCTTTCTGGGCGAGTGGAATGACCCCGAGGGTCGCACTCACTGCAGTCAAATTTCATGCTGTCCCACCTTGGAGGTTCGCTTCGATTCCAATCTGCCTCTGCCTTCCAGCGTCCTTTTCTAATACTGTACATCTGGCGCGTACATCTGGCGCTTCTCGCATGTAAGACCTTGCTAAGCACCATACTATTCACTCCATGCATCGACAGGTATAAGGCGACGAGGACATCTTCAAAACCCGAGGCCCTGGCGCTCTCATCATGTTTGTCAGTTGTGTCTCAATCGACAGCTCCTTGCCGCTGCGATCGCCGATGTCACTGATCCTGGGATCGACATCCGAGATTCGTGGTCAGCACGTCTGCTGCATCGTCGCGGGCTCTGTCGGCAGACATGGAGGAGGACTACTCACACTGCACAGCAGTTTGGTGCCGGACGTAGACACATGGTCCAGCATGCCTGGCAAGTGTTCTCAATACCACCTGAACCTGCACGTACAACACTGGAGCTTCCGGATGGTATTTAATGAGTTCGGCGCCCAAAGAAATGAAGGACTTCAGGGTGAACTCCTCCATGTTGGGATCTTGGCAGCCAGTCTCTTGGTGAGCTTCCAAAAATCGAGTTCCAACTCGCCGAAGTCTTCGCAGCTTCGACTGTCGGCGCCGGTGCATGCAGGCTTCCACGAAGCTTAGATCTGGACTCACTTCGTTCCCGACCAGCTCACTAACCTCATCCGAATCTTGACAGCATGTCCTAATGGCATCCAGGCAAGCTCAACAGCTGTCCAGGCCAGCATCGCCTTGAACCTGGATGACTTCTACATGCAGTTCCCACGCCTGTGTCCAATGGCGCTCCCGCATGCCCGGGTTGCGTAGCCCTGTGACCTCACGTGCTGTTCGGTTTACAGTACAGCTGCGGATGCTTCCTCTGGTCCAGCCATGCTCTATGTCTGCGGAATCAACGTGTCTTTCCCTACATAAAGCAAGTACCCCCCAGCACGTGTTTGTCAATGTGAATGTGCACATAACTTTTGACAACATATACACTTTCACACCATACGTTCATACATACACGTGGCTATGTTTATATATATGTATATATATACATATATATATATATACATATATATATATATATATATTTGTATATACATATGTACATGTCAGGGCTCTCCTACCATGATCTGTATCCTTGCTCCGTGCATGCCAATTAGGAACCCTTGGCGCTTGACCCTTCCCCGGGCATACTCCTGCGAGTTTTTTTCAAAATTCGGGGTTTCGTACACCGAATCCCGAACAACAAGCTTGGGCGATCGTTGCACTCACCCTGGTGCAACGTTGGCGCGCTCTCGAAGGTGTGCAAGTGAACGACTGAGGGTTCGCTAACCGCCCTCATAGCCATATTGTGACCAGAACCAGCCAGAAAGAACAATGGACACGTCACATCTGTATGAAGTATGGGTAGATGCACACAAAGATTTGAACATGCAGTATGTTGCAAGTTTCCCGACTATGTAATTCATGCGTAGGTTACCTACCCCAGTGGAAAAAGCTAAAAGCCCGCATGGACACCCATTTCGATCCACGTCGGTCTCAGGATCAAACGATTGGCACGTAAGGCTGGAAGGCATCGATCTGGCCCTTCGCACATGCGTACATGTCACGAACTCAACTGACATGCTCGGGCAATGGCACTGTACTGCAAGCCTTGAAATATAGTGTCAAATAATGAGGCAAAGCGGTTCCGGTCTCAACAGGTTGCAGAGATAACGAAACCAGTGTGGTAGATCGGTTGCTTGGCAATAATGAAGCACGTGCCAGAGGAAAATCCCACTTGTTCACCGTTCTGACTGCGAAGCTGTTTGTTGCGGCCACTGCACAGACTGTGACCGCACCTTGATGTCTCTTGCGATTTGCAAGACTTTGCCAGCGTCCTCCCTCTTTTCGAGCCCCTTCACCTCCGGCATCACGATGACATTGTGCAAGGTGCTACGATTCAGATGTGTCGCTCAATACCGAATTAAGGTCGTATCTTGCTGCGTTAGTCTGCACACCTTGGATGCATACGGCTTCATGCATAAGCAAAAAATAACTGGCATAGTAAATGAATGTATTTCCAGCGACCATATAAGCAGATACTGTAATCGTATACCGCATGCAAACATGCACACATGTATTCGCAGCTGCTTCAAGTAACGGTCGATCAACAGGACAAAATTATGTAGTGTTCCCATGCAGAGAGAAAATGCAGAATGCTGCCAACACTAAAGTCACTAAAGGTGATGCCAAAGATTGCTTAAACAGAATGCTATACAGTATTGTGTTAGCTAATTGCCGCTATGCCGTCATTCGCCAGCATTCTACAATTCAGTGCAACTTGCCCTGGATGAAAACAAAACCAAGCAACTGCAATTAAGGCCTACTTCCTCTAATCGTTTCTGAGAGGCAGTTTATGTCCGAGGCAGCAACCGTCTTGAAAAGAGTCTTCGCTCCTGTTGTGACAGATTGTTCGCCTGGCGTTGCAGCAGCTTCACAACGATGCAGGCATCCGGGAGCCATGTCGGGATTCGGGTCAGCTGGAGGCTATCCGTCGCAAGGTTCTGCGATGCGGCGGGCGGAAAAGCTGAACCAGCACCTCGCACGTTGCACTGCTTGAGGTTTGAAAACACGAGCCCGGCAAGACAATACTTGGCATCAATCTCGTGGAAGGGGCCATTCCTCGTTGCAGTTGCGAGGAGGGTAGGCACATCTGCACAGCAAACTAACACACCGAGAACTCTGAGGGCAATGCATCCACTTTTCCGAGTCTTCGAGCCAATGGTATGCAGTCACCTGAAGTCCGAGCAAGCGCAAGTAAATGCCACACATCGTGGCATGTCTGCAATTGCAGCCAAGCCGAGAGCCCAGAGCTGGGAGAAGGGTTCCCACTCCTGCATGGAGGCTTCTCCAAGCGACTGCATCCAGTGTAATGCCCCTTTTCAACATGACAGGAAGGAGCTTCGCGGGCCGACGAACACGATCTCAAGCCAAAGTCCAAACAACAGCCGCGAGATGGCACAAGCGAAGGCGGCCTTCTGAAGCTGCTGAAGGTGTGTGTAGTCGGAGGACTCTTGTCCGAAAAGCGCCTGCGCATGACAGCAAGAGGCCGATCTTGGCTCAAGGTCGCAGGCGGAAAAGTACTCACGATTGGATATTGGCATTATTTTATATTTGCGCAAGGCACATGCGACGCGACCAGATTCTCTGATCATCGTTTATCGTTGCCCTCACCCCTAGCTCCGTCGTCGCCATCGCAACCGTCTTGACTGCGAAGCGCTATCCAACAGCATCCTGATTACTAGTCCTCGTCCTTTTGTTCCTGCTTCTCGACCTTGTCGTTCCTTTCTCATTCCTCCATCTAATACAGTGATGGATGTACAGTCATGTTGTAACTAGCTGTTGCTCGGGAGCATGCTTCCTGAAAGTCTCAAGATTGGACGCTACACTGCCGAAACTCAAAACCTAAAACCAACACCGCAAGGCCGCATACGAGGATAGCACCCACGTAATTCACCAGAGACCCTGAGTCTGAGGTCTGGTTGGTGGCTTGGGTTTGCTTTACAATTACACATACCGTCTTGGGGTCGTTACCCAGATCCGGAATTTTGCAGTGCCCTCTTAGGATGGACCTTCGTTGGTTGGAGACGCTCCGACAAAGCCACTAAAGTGTAGTCACGTCTCACAAGTTGCCAAGGGCCATTTCTTCAGCCAAATCACCTGCTCAATTTGACACTAAGTCTTACCCTCTACAGCTTCATGTACATCATTTAAAACAAATTTACACCCCAGCCCCAGCCAAATAAAGCTTGATCCCAAATGAAAGATCCCGCAAAGCTGGAGCTGAAGGCACAGCAGGCACGGCAGGCACGGCAGGCACAGCAACGCGGGCCTCGCGGGAGTTGAAGAGCTTGGCCTGGGACGAAGCCTCCCGCAAACGATCGTTAACGCCTCAAACGGCAGTTGGCATCGAAGGAACCGCTCTAAGACGACTCTGTCTAGAAGCATAATCTCAGGCGATGGCTGACCACGTTCTCGTGGATCTCCTGGCGGTGGCGTTGCAAACACCA